CTGTACTAGTCAGAGTTCAGTCAGGAGATAGAAATCTCCACAGACACTCTCACATGATTATTTATTACGATTCTTCCCAATTACAGGAAATTATATCTTAAAACTGTTAGGAATTCTGGAGGAGCATGAATCAGTGCAGACCCTTAACTTTAAGAGGTCAGAGACCTGTAACAAGCCACTGCTGACACCATTGCTTCTCTGGAGCACCTAGGGAAAAAATGTCTAGGAACACAAGGCTTTTGCCAAGATTCCTGTCTGTGAAACCCTTGTGTCCACTGCTAGAGATGGCTTCAACCTATCTGCCTCCTCTCAAATCTCATAATACTGTTTCACTGGCAGAACGTCGGCCACATTTAGAAACCTGGGGCAAGGAGAGCCTGAGAAATATAATATTCTTACTTCTATTTCTTATAAATAGAAGAAATAGAGAAGACTATAGATGTAAATGAGAATTTTTTAAAAATGACAACATGAATGGATCTTGAAATAACCATTTTAAGTGAAGTAAGTCAGAAAAAGTTGAGTGAGGTGTTTGGGCTCATCTCCAACCTGGGAGGATGACAGTTTGAGAGTTTGATTTAGCCTCTTTTTACCTTCACCTGAAACCTGATCATTTAAAGGCCTGAGTTTCTTTGCATAGGTCCCAGGGATTAAGTTCACCCTTCTTTGCTTGGGTAGTTTTTGTAAACATACACACACACACACACACACACACACACACACACACACACACACACACACACACACATACTCTTATGTGTATGTGTGTGCGTGTATGTATGCTCCAGAGAGAGAGAGAGACAGAGAGAGACAGAGACAGACAGAGAGAATGAATTTGGAAACTTCGAATCCACATCTCAGAACATTTCCCTTCAAAACAACCACAAGTTCCATTGCTGTTAAGTTCAGCATCCATAGTGAGGTCATTCTATAATTCCTACTTTTCTTGTCTGTTCTAAAAGGCACAAGCTTAACTTTGATAATTGAGAGACTGTGGAGGAAACCTGCAAAGAAGCCTAAGAGTGGTTGACTTCAACAGCTGACCCCAAATGGCCTATTAACAGTTTGATTCACTCATTCAGTACCTCTTCCTGTTCTTTAGACATTCTGGAAACTTCAGAGCTTCTTTCGACTCTTTCGTCTTTGGCACTCCAAAGCCAGAACAAGTCCTAGGGATAGAGGGCATTCCAAACATGCTTTTTTTAAAAAAAAATTTTTCTAATTAAATTTATTGGGGTGACATTGATAAATAAAATTATATAGGTTTCAAGCATACAATTCTACAATACATTATTTATCTATTGCATTGTGTGTTCACCACCCAAAGTCAAATCTACTTTCATTACCACGTATTTGACGCCCTTTACCCTTTCCTACCTCTCCACTCTCCCTCTGGAAACCACTATACTGTTGTCCGTATCTATCAGTTTTTGTTTGGTTCACCTGTTGCTTTCAGTTTTATACCCCACACATGAGTGAAATTATATGGTTCTCAACTTTTTCTGTCTGACTTTTTCACTTACCGTGATGTGGTACATATATACAAATGGCCATTACTCAGTCATAAGTAAAGATGAAATACTGCCATTTGTGACAACATGGATGGACCTTGAGAATATCATGCAAAATTGTTTTCATCTCCTGAAATGTACCTCCCCTAACCTATAATTCCTCCTTTCAGCTGTTCTCACAAGATTAGGGAATGATGTTACTCAACAGTCCAAGGAAGACCCAGTCCAGAAACTACATCCTTAAATATGATGCTCTATTGCCTGAGGTCTAAACTCTGGGATCTCATTTAGGTCTGAATAATTTTATAGAATACAGATGTATTTGCATGCATACACCTATGTGTGTGTATGTTAGTTGGAGAAGGAGAACTGGGAAAAGTCTATATCCAATCAATCGAATTATATAATTTTTTGTTTACTCATTAATTCTTTAATGCTATTTGATCATACTCTATATATTTTTTTAAGAGTGTGAAGTTATCGCTTTATTTCAGAAACATAAAGAACAAAGAAATAACTTGACCTAGATTCATTGGATTTTGTTTTAGAAATACGAACATCTGACTGCAAGGTGTTTAATTTCTTTTTTTTTTATTTCTTTTTCAATTATAGTTGACATAATATTTTCATATTTTCATACAGTTGGCATATAATAGTTTCAAGTATATAACATAGTGATTAGACATTTATATACTTTACAAAGTGATCACCTGACACCATATATACTGACTATCTTCCCTATGTTGTACTTTACATCCCCATGTACTGAATTTCTTAATAGAGCATTTCCCTTAGAGTTTCTGAAGTAGGACCCCATAAGCAATATAAAACCTTGGGGTATAGGAGCTTCTGAGGGTTGACAGACTCTTTCCAGAGTCACCACACTTTTACTCCCCAACTGTGTCAGACTTGTCAGGCTTGTCAGGCCATCAAGTCAGGGCAAGGATGGGGCCTGACTTTCCCCCTTGTCTTCCTGTGTTTTCAGCTGGAATGTTTTATGAACCACATCAAGAAGATAGAGGACTATGAGAATATGAAATTTCAAAGAGTACAACTTGATTAAGATTAAGCTAGAGCAGGATGTGCAGGTACGACGTGTTTCTCAGCCAGTGGCAGAGCAGATGGAGGGCAACTGTGAATCTACCAATAATATTTTAGAGTTGGTCCATTTAACAAATATTTATTAATGATCTCCTTTTTTTTAATGACCATATCTGAAGGAGCTCATATACAAGAGACATGTGGAGGAATGCTTTCTTTAAAAAACTGTGGAGAACTGCCAAGATGCCAAAAGGGATCAGGAAACCATGACATACGAGGAATTGTTGAGAGAATGGTCCATTTTAGCTGAGCAAAGGGAAAATGTCCCTGAGGCAAGTTAGCTGTGTTGGAGGACCAGAACTAGGACAGCCACCATCTAATGAGTGTCTACCATATTCCAGGCACTTAAGGCACTGTATTTCTAATCCTCCAGCTAGTGAAAGGGATAAACCACTAACATCATTTTATATGCCAGCAAACTGAGGCTCAGAGACAAAGCTACTTATCTAGTAAATGGTAAATTTTGGGTTCAAACCCAGTTCTATCTGGCACTATAGCCT